TGCAATTCAGTACGTGTAAAATGTCTGATCAACACAATGATTGTGTAAAAGATCGAGAATACCAGACAATGAAACATTCAGTAGAAACTGATCATGATAAACAAGCTAGACTTAACAAAGTTAATGAGTATAAATGAGTATAATAAAGAAAGTAGTCTCATGAAACTGCTTGTGAGAAACAATTAAGGCTTCAAAAAGCTAATGAGTATAAAAAAAGAAAACAGTCAGAGGAAACTGACAGTGAGCAAAAACAAGACTTCAAAAAGAAAAGGAGTCTAAAATGAGAAAGCAGTCTGAGGAAACTAATAGTGAGAGAAAAGTGAGACTTCAAGAAGAAAACAAGTGTAAAAAAGGAGGCGGTCAGAAGAAACTGACAGGGAAAGGCAAATAAGACTTGACAAAGACAGATTATCTAAAAAACAAAAGCGGGCAAAGCCGCAACACAGAATAAATCAAGAGGATTACTTAAATTTGTTTGATATAGGCAATAATGGTAGAATCGAGGAGCAATGTTGGGCAAAAGCTAATATAAACAAGTTTCATAAGTCAATGCAATACACTGTTGCTCAGTGTACAGTTTGCCATGAGGCATGGCCAATAAAATCTAAACCTAGTTCACCATATATGTGTTCACGATGCTTTAGAGATAGAAAATCTCCTAAAAAATTTTCTTGTGAAAACTTGATAATACCTTCTTATGTTCCAGATGAATTACAAAATTTAACTCAGGTTGAGGAAATGTTAATTTTTCGTGCTTTGCCAATGAGAGTGTATGTTAAACCTGGTGGTCAACGAGGTTATTCAGGGCATTGTATTAACTTGCCACAAAATGTTACAGAACTTGCAACATCTTTGCCAAGATACCCCAAAGACTTGGCTGTGATTATTGTCAAGGTTTAAGTGCCGATAAACTCATAAAAGCTCATTGCTTGCCTCTAGAAAGGATACTAAAAAGTTCATCGCCTTGATGGATATCAGCAGAAAGAAATAAAGCCATACTTACCTGTATATTTTGATAAACTATTTGTTTTTTTTGTTATTTCTGTCCAGTTTGCTTGCATTTGTATGTGTTAAACCCAAAACTTATCATCTAAAGGCCATGTTACATTATGCAATTTCTATTGCAACTTCAAATATTATTGCAAAGATGTAAAATTTGAGTGTTTTTTGCTAATGCTTTAAGGAATTTTGACATCTCAAAGTAGCCTAACAACAGCAGTACATCACGACCCATGATATAGTGCTATTGTTTTGCCACCTGTGCTAAAAAATTGCAATTACATTGTACCACCCCAGGTAGCTCAAAAGTATTTGGACACAAATAGTTTTTGGCTACCTGAACTATCACAGAGGAAAAATAGACTATTGCTCTATTATTCTTCTGATTGTATTGAAGTTGCAAATAACATGTATTTACGTTGAAGGCAGCAATCTCCTTGCAATAGCAACTCCTAGTATAACTATATAAGCACGAATTCCAAAGGCAAAGTGTAAGACAAAGTGAATGTATCATGCGGTTTATTTACATTTTTGAACAATTGAACTTCTATACTTTTTAAAGTACGATGTGCTTCTGAATTTCGCGATCGAACAACATTTAGGTTCGCAAGGCATCTAAATGAATATGAACTGTTTGTTTATGTTCAGAAGCTTTATAATTATATTGAAGACTGGCGTGCGCGCCACGCCGGAGTTAACGCCAGAACAGGCGTCTTGTTGATTATCAATTCAAGATCATACCGAAAATGTATACCGAGAAAATTTCAAACTATTAATAAATAATACAATATATTAGCAATATTAGATGAACTGTTTAACATTTAGGATTTTAGAGATTTTAATGATGAACAAACCACACACACATGCATCAACATGATGTATAGCTGATCGATGGCTTGGTCTGAGTTGAGTCATTTTGTGTAACACTATATAACACTTAATTCTCACAATGTGCCAGCCATGTAATGTTGGTTGTTTCTCTTTGAATGTCTTGAGCAAATCAAATTGTGCACAAGATACCTCTTGTCAGATTCAGGGTTACGATTACAGACAGGCTTTGGTTGGTCAAATATGTTGAATAAACACTAGATTGTTAGCTGTTGCGATACTTATCGTGCATGGAAGGCGAGCTTTTTGTTACGTTTTTAGCCAGATCAAGATGTAGACGTAATGTTTAGTCACTGTTAATTTAGACGCTGTAATGTTCACATAAGAAAGCTTATTTTGAAATGTAATTATGTTAAACAAACATGGTTTCAGATGTAGGATTGTGAACAGCGTTGTTTCAGTTTTACTCGGGAAGACATTCCATCGCACTATATAAGGAATGTCTGATAGTGATACAGATCAAGACATGCAGGTTTGAAGTGGAAGGCAAAAGCCAAAGGCAAAGCGGAAATCTCATATTCTAGAAATACTATGGCAGTATTTCATCGAGGATGGGAGACTTATGTTTTGGTCTGTATAGTTTCTCGATTAGATGAATGCGAAGAGCAATTCAAGAAGTGAAGACACATTTTGTTAGTAATTACCCATGATCCGCCATTTTGGTTTCACTCATTAATGAGGGAAAGTGAGTTGGAAAGTGAGAAAGCTAGCGTTCCAGTCTTAATTGAGTTCACTGGCCCTCGCAAGGCGGCTCAGCTAAGTGAGCGATTGGCGGATGAATGCTAAATTTAAAGACCTGCTCAACCAACAAAGATGTTCCCGCTGTCTGTGGGAAAAAACTGCGGATGCTTCGGGATACAACGTGATAAATAAAATAATTACATTATGTTTATTTTTATTAAGTCAGTGACTTTTTATTAATTGTTTTTTATCTTTTTAGTATTTTCAACTCAAATTAGCTACTGAGATAATTATTGTTGTAGAATTTTCTTGCTATTACGTACTTATAATCATACATTCTACATTACTTTCCTAAAAAGCTACAACATAAAAAATGAAAAATGTCGTGTATTTCAGGTTAAACCATAAACATGTATAATACGTTCAATGTGGTTTATATGCTAAGATTCTTTATAAGGATTTTGACTATGAGAGGCGTAGAGTTTTTCGACTAGTCCTTGCCCTTGAAGTAGATGACGTAGGTGCGATGTTAGGGTTACACGTGTAAGTGGGACAGCTGATGTAAATTGGAGCAGTGGACGAGTTGTTTGGCCAGACGATGACTGGAGTAGATATGTTTTCATAGCTCAAACCAGGCAGATTATTTGGAAGCTGGTACCCCCAATCACTGGATGCTTTCTACGCCCCTGGGTTTGTTGCCGTTCAGTGATCATCACATACCAGTTTTTAGCTTGATTCACGACAAAATCATTTTCATCGAAAACGCACGCGCTGAGTGGTTCAATTAAATGACGTAAAATTCATTCAATTGTTGTCAATTAAATGATCGTTTCTTGCGGATATATTTGCAAAAATTTTGCGCGCGAAATATTATTTCACAGAGCGATAAAAAGCGGTTAATTGAAAAGTATGTTTTCCCTTTCCTCATTATCCAAACCCTTCGATGATTTGACATTACGATGAGCCAATTGTTAAACGACATCCACGACGAAAAGGGTCGGTTTTAAAACACTTGATCAAGACATCATAATTAACATTCCGCGTGGAGGATATTTGGGTGGATTGCGCGGATAGGGGCACTCGGGATCAAATGGAGAATTACACGTGAATTCACTACAGCGCAGGAAACCAAAAAAGGCCAGAGTGAAGGCGGCCCAAAGCATCACATTGTCTAAACAGCCTTTAAACTGAGGACGTAGAGCAGAAATAGGGGACTAGAGTTCGGTCACAGTGATAGGCCGTCGATCCCGCAATTTTTCACCCTTGAGGGCCTTCAGACCTTTGAGGTATTTCTCTATAATGCATGCCCCCATGTCGAATGGGATTTGAGAAATTACGTGGAGGTAAGACACGCTAGCTAAGTATGTTTTAACAGTTGAATATGAAACAGATTTGGATAGATGGCCGACGAAGTAGAGCAGAGGTAAAGTAGAGAAAGGAACAGACGTTTTGCAAGGCAGAATGAAATTAATTGTTTTACGCCGGCGGCGTATGTTTCTTTAGTTGACTGTGCTCCTGAATACTGAATAAGTTCATAAACACGGTCGTTTAAGTTTTTATCATGGATACTGGGATAACGCAGGGCAGAGGAGAGGCCAGTGGAGCTAATTGTTTGAAGCGGTCCATCTGAAAACGAGAGAGCGAGTCCAATTGTCAAATCCGCGTACAAGCCTGGCCGTAAATGTGAAGTTGTTTTCAAAGTACAAAGAAAATCGGTTGCAGTAAATCCATTATCTTCGGACATTTGACGTCTTCTGATTAGAACTTGGACAACGGACTCGTTGTCACAGAAAACAAATAATGAATAAATGAAATAAATAAATAAGTAAATACACTGAATTAAAAAAATTTAAAATGGTTAGTCGATCATTATTGACCTCTATACGAACTTGCAGCTCTAATCGATAAGCGAAACCTTCCTCGCTAAATAAATCAGAGACTACGTGTAGTTGAGAAACACGCGCTGGTAATCCTCAACCTCTGAGGCAACAAATACCTGTAATTTAAACTAGGGTTTGATTTTCATCTGCAGGAATTAGTTGCTTTTGAATATTTCACCAACAACTTTGCATCAAATGTGGTTCATAATCACAACTACGTAAAATAGACAATAAATACTTCCTGGCATCACTGCTACTTTCCTGATCAAAACGTTGAGAAGCTCTCTAACTTTGATAAAATTGTTGTCTTTGCTTTCATGGTATTTGGATTTGAAACATGAAAAGCAATTCTTGAAAATTGGGTTTGCTTGGCGGCTCCAGTTTGTGATTTAATGCGCAGGAGAAAAAAATGTTGTTTGTATATCATATATAAGTTGAACAAATATTTCCGGGACAATCAGCAATACTAACAATTAACAAAGGTAATCTTAATACTAAGACTAATTAATCCTGAAACACTGAACACTAACTCACCCCCCGTAAGGTTGAAATGTCAGGAAAACTGAGGAATTTCCTATGCACGCCAAGGAATACTTGAATTGTTTCACAGACAGTCACGTGATTTTTGTGGTGAAAAATCAAAACTCGCACATCCAAACACTGGAATATCTTTGTGATAAAAATACCAAATAAATCCTGATATTTCTTCTGGTAAAATCGTCGTTTAATACATTTCTGATATCAGATCTGTTGTACTTGGAATAAAAAGGTATTACTTTGTTTTGATTGTTTTTATAGTGTATATTTATTTGTGCAATTTGGTATTAAATTTTGCAATATTCCCCCACAGACTTGGTAGTTGGTACAGTAATATATACTGGTAACTACAACATTAAATATTTATCAATAAGTCATTATCAATTCATAATAAATATTTCAAACTTTTAATAGAAAAAACAATATATTAGCAACACTTGATGAACTGTTTAATGTTTATCATCTTGTCATGAACACTCACCCACACATGAAGCATAGTTATGCCTCAGTCATTTTGTGTAACTGTGTGTCATGTAATGTTTGTTTTTTCTTCATACATTAGGAAATTGAAATAAAGACAATGGCCTTCTTGTCAAATTCAATGTTATATTTGATACTAGAAATACATGCATGCAGCAACCCCTCACCATTTCAAACAAAGCAAAATATTTCCTGAGCTAGTTTCTAAGTTCTATTTCGTGATCTAAGTTCTAGGGAAAGGGAGTTTAACTAATAAATATAAAAAATACAAATATGAGAGCAATCATGAGAGGTATTAATCGTGCAAGTGTGAATTGATGCATTTATTATTAGTCAGTGACTCAGTGACTCAGTGTACATATTTATATTCAGACATGTACAGTAACTATACAGCCTGGGGTATTAGGTTGGTTTAAATAAATTAAAAAGAAATTAGTTCTACCTTCTCACTAAGTTTTTGATCAGTTTTGAAAATAATTACATTCTGCCCAACAACAACAACACTTCTGTATCAAGTCAAATTCATGGTCGTTATTAATACCATTCTTACTTTAGTAATATCCAAATGAGAAACTCAGCTATGTTATTATAAACTAATGACATGTATGGTTTTTTAGGAGTTTCAATCAAGCTTCACCCTTAGTAATTTCACTAGTTAAATATTACTTATATTTACAAGTTTCCAGTCCAGTATTCAAGATGTCTGAGAGGTCAAAATATCAAGTTTTATAGCAACATTTATCTACTTTTGAGAATGTCGTATTGAAAAATGTTATCAAACTGAGGAATATAGATTTTCTTGATATATATTATAAATAATTTATTGGTAATAACTATTATTATTACATCTACACTTGTGTCATCATGTGCCCTGCTATGAAATTGAACCCCGAATATTCAAAATGAAATGAAGAATTTACTATTCATATGCGTTTGCAGAGTTTATATTCCAATTTACATCAAGGATGCTTATTTGAACATGAATATATAAATACCCCACCAACAATTAATCTTCTAGCTATATCCCTGATTTACAGGTACTTTTGCAGAGTTTTTAGTTCAAATCACTTTCCTAAAAAGTTTTCCTTGGGCGTATATCTTCTATACAGGGTGTATCAAAAAAAATGTCCCAAATGTAAAATTTCCGTTTTGCAGGATATTTTGCAGAATTTGGCAAATTTTTGTGTTCCTAGAGATAGATAAGACTTATCTGGTATACCTAGGCCAAGTTTGGTTTTTCATTAACAAAATTATGTCACCGGGGGGGTGGTTTCTTTCCACTGATATTGAGAGGGCTTGCGCGCGAAAATGTGAAGCTGAAATTGAGATATTATTTAGCTGTCTAAAAGTAGGAAAGCTTTTTAATAAACTGTCAAAGTTTCAGGAAAAATAATGCAAACTGGGAGCAACGCGCGACCCCTAAAAGTGACAAATATTTCATTACGCGCAGTGGATTAAATGCATGGTTGATTTTAGCGTGACCGATCTCATGCAAGGCTGGGCAAATGAATAAATTAAAGCGAGAAACTGAACAAGAAGACGAAGCGATTTAATAATAAGATTCTTATTCTTGATTTTAATCCTCAACATTTCCACCATTTCTTTCTAAGCAAACTGCGGCTCGTCTGAGCATGGTAAACACTGAACGGCAAACCACATTTGTCTGTCCTGCCTCAAATTATCCATTTCGTTCGAAATTCTTTCTTGCAAATCGCCTACGCTACCACCGGCAAATCTAGGCGAATGGACAGACAAATGGTTCGCTGTTCAGTGTTTAGTATGCTCAGACAAGCAGCAGTTTGCTTAGAATGAAATGGTGGACATGCTGAGGATTAACATCACGAATAAATCGCTTTGTTTTTGTGTTCAGTTTCTCGCTTTAATTTATTCATTTGCCCAGCCTTACATGAGATTGGTCACGCTAAAATCAACCATGCATTTAATCCACTGCGCGCAATGAAATATTTGTCACCTTTAGGGGTCGCGCGTTGCTCCCAGTATGCATTATTTTTCCTGAAACTTTGACAGTTTATTAAAAAGCTTTCCTTCTTTTAGACAGCTAAATAATATCTCAATTTCAGCTTCACATTTTTGCGCGCAAGCCCTCTCAATATCAGTGGAAAGGAACCACCCCCCCGGTAACATAATTTTGTTAATGAAAAACAAAACTTGGCCTAGGTATACCAGATAAGTCTTATCTATCTCTAGGAACACAAAAATTTGCCAAATTCTGCAAAATATCCTGAAAAACGGAAATTTTACATTTGGGACATTTTTTTTGATACACCCTGTATTACCAAAAATGTTAAGCTATATTTATTGTAATACAAGTATTTCTGAAATGTCCTAATCCCACACATGACAGATTTTTTTAAAAATAATTTTAATTCAAACCCACAGAATGAAAGTTGTGTGAGACACAAAATCAATCCTCAGCCTGCCAACAACTGTTATATTTATTATGTCCATTCAGTCTCTTATTCCTTATAATCATATAATCATGTTTGCATATCGTAGGAACAATAGCGTACGAAAGAAATCAGTCATCATAAGACAAAATTTGTCTTAATATATGAATCCCCCCCCCCAAATTAAGCTTCCAGCTACGACGCTGAAAACTCACAAATTTCTCACTAATGTTTTTTTTTTCAATCCTTGCCGCACTCCAGTACATGGAAATGATATAATCTGCTGTAGAGCATATGAAATGATATAGTGGCTCTGTCTATACTCACACTAGTAGCAATTTTCATGCCACGTCCGCGTCGTAGATTTGGTGCATCTTAAACTCGCTTTTTATTAAGTAGGACTCACCAACTACCTAATATGTTGCCCAAAAAATATTAACGACTGTTGCGGAATTTAGGTTAACGCATAGTTGAGTATACCAACCATAAGTAAACAGTCATTTACATAGCATGCGCAAATATATAGTGTTATGGTCGTAATTTGTAATGTGTATTGTTATGTAAATCTTAATAGTGTAACATCATATAGCATAGGAAATCGAGGTTTTGAGGTAGCACGTTGCAGCAACCGCGAAACCAAAGTCCCACACAAAAACGTAAGCGGACGCAAATGTGGGTTGTAGTGGAGCGAAAACTAGAGATTTAAACACTCAATTTTTGAACCACATTTGATGTGCCTATTTTGTGTGTAACATTTCATCTGGATCCTTGTTTAATATTGTTTCTGTTATAATTTTAGGAGGAGATCTACCATTATTTTGCTTATACACAATGTTGCATAATGTTGGTTGAGTGTTTACAGCGAGGACAACTCAAAGTTATTCAACTCGTGTGAGAAGTTCTCTGAGTCAAGGTGCGAATAATTTACTGAGGAAAAGATCCGTTTAATGAAGCTCCCTGCAGCTAGTACAGTTTTACGTGATCTATAGTAAAAGATCCGTTTAATGTAGCTCCCTACAGCTAGTACAGTTTTACGTGATCTATAGTAAAAGATCAGTTTAATGTAGCTCCCTACAGCTAGTACAGTTTTACGTGATCTATAGTAAAAGATCCGTTTAATGTAGCTCCCTACAGCTAGTACAGTTTTACGTGATCTATAGTAAAAGATCAGTTTTAATGTAGCTCCCTAGAGCTAGTATAGTTTTACGTGATCTATGTAGATCAACTAGACGTGCCTTGTCTCTCACTTTTGTTAAATATCGGCGAAAAACGTTCATTTATTTAATACAATTGCATCTATTAATCAACTCCCTACACCAATGTCATCTAGACAACAGAGTGTTACTAGAGCATAGGTATTGAAATTGATCAGGGTATGCATGTCTCGAGTAAAATTAGACTTCGCATTGGCACATTCTGTGAGTTATTTAAGCGATAAAAACTAGGAATTCAATTTGCAGTTCATCATCAATTAAGAACCTGCATCCTCATCACGCACAATCGCTCATCGATAAGCCCTTTGCAATTGTTTGAATGCCGTGTGTCTTCTTCAGAATACGTTTCGAATTACACGTTGACCCGGTCATGTTTAAACGTTTTGGTTGATTGTAATTCCAAGGTATTTAAATGTAGTATCTACCCAATCCAACATTGTCCCATTGATACCAATGGAAACACCACCAGCTGATCTGAGTTCATGACGTCATGAGGCGTCTCGACAAAACTAAGTTATCATACGCCTGGTGTTATTTGTCCTAATTCTTCTAACTAATAATATAAAGAGGAAAAAATTTAAATTCTAATTTACAGTCAGGGAAAAAATAAGCGTGGATTCGCTTAAATACAGTAAAATTACTTGATATTTTCGAGTGTCGAAGTCATACGCAATGAAGGAATTTTTTTTTTTTTTTTTAAGAATATTTAAATACAGGATAAATACTTCAGTGAATCATTCACTGCTATCAATGTATGTCCTGCAGTAATTTACAAAGGGCAAATTGGTGCTCTTAAAAGGATACGCCAGTTCATAGATACAAGCACTGCCCTCAAAATTTACGGAGCTTTGATTCAACCGTATTTTGATTATTGTGGCTCAGTTTCGGATGGTTTAAATATCACGTTAAATGATAAATTGCAAAAACTGCAAAATAGAGCAGCGAGGGTAATTACCAAATCTGGATACGATGCAAGTTCCAGCGACCTTTTCACTAAACTAGGTTGGGACAATCTTTCGACACGCCGGAAAAAACACAAGGCTGTAATAATGTTCAAAATTCTTAACGATTTAACACCGAATTATCTCCGTAATTTATTTGAATTCCACAGCACAGGATACAATTTGAGAAACTCTGAAAATGCTTTATTTGTACCAAAACCGCGAACAAATTATGCTAAACGAAGTTTTAGTTATAGTGGCGCGGTGTTGTGGAATGAGTTACCTCAAAATGTACGAGCATTATGCTCTCTTAACCAATTTAAAAGGGAGATTGACAACATTTTTTCCCTATAAAACAGACTCTCGCACGGCAATCTTGTAAATCAGTTTATACAGGGTGTATCAAAAAAAAGGTAATCCAACTTCAACACGCTATTGTACGTGAACTACTCAGTCTATGAACGAATTTTTTTCACATTCGGAAAGATCAGGCTTTTAACTATCGGATGACATGTTTTTTAATACCAAATGGTGAAAAAATGAGCAAATAGGAGGCTGATAAAAAGTGTTAGTCAAAATGCATATTTTCACCTTTGAGCCTAATTAAAGCAGTGCATAACAAAAGAAAAAAACAATTAATCACAACATGTCACAGCTTGCACTGGTTTTATGCCGCATTGCTTGGAATGTTCTCCTAATGTGATTTATTCCTACTTAATATGAATATGCGGGTCGCTTATTCAAAAGCAAAATTCTTCATTTAAATCCCAAAGAGATTTCATTTTCAATGGTTTTAGTCCCAACTCTCAGAGGTGAAAATATGCGATTTTGACTAACACTTTTTAGCAGCCTCCTATTTGCTCATTTTTTCACCATTTGTTATCAAAAACATGTCATTCGATGGTTAAAAGCCTAACCTTTCGGAATGTGAAAAAAATTCGTTAATTGAATGAGTAATTCACGTACAATAGCGCACCAAAGTTGGATTACCTTTTTTTTGATACACCCTGTATATCTGTATTTTAAATTGTATTGTATTGTGTTGTATTTAGTAATTTTGTCCCTAAATATCTAATGAATGTATATAATTATAGCCCACTTTTTATACTGTAGATTTTACCGTGCTTAAATAAAGTTTTGATTGATTGATTGATTGAAGTATAAAAATTAATTATAAAAATATGTAAGAAATAAATTTTAAAGTACTACTAAAATTTATATACTAAAATGCTCTTTCACTTTTCGTTTTAATAGCATAAAACTTTCAATTTCTCTGATGTTACGGAGCAATTTATTAAATTCAATTGCCCCATTATAATAAAATGCATGTTTGGTGGATTCTAATTGTAATTTCGGGATCCTAAAACTTATTCCATTATTTCGCGTATCCTTTACATGCTGTAAGCGTTCAAAATAATCGTCAAAGTTACTGCACAAATTTCTGTCAATACACTGCTTCACCAGTATACATAACTGTTGTTTTGCAAAATAGACCACATCAGGTAATCGTAGATGTACCAGACCATCTGATTTTATTATTTTTACCGCTCGTTCTTGAAAAATTGCAACTTGTGAGGCTTCCGTAGCATTCAAGTTCAAAGTGACAATACTATTCATGTTAATAGTGGCAAAATCATTCTCTTGTATATCGATTCCGCTGCATCCACAGATAAAAAAGCTCGAATTTTCCTTAACAATCTCAATCTACTTGAAGCTTTTTTAAGCGCCTGCCCAAAATGCTCCTTAAGGTTTACCGTCTGATCAACCAAGACTCCAAGATATCTATACATAGTTGTATAATTTATCAATTCATCATTGAGGCAAATCATTAAGGACTTATTCTTGATTTTTCGGCTAGTACCTAACAACATAGACTCGGTTTTGCCTTTTGAGAGATTTATAACCAAGTCATTATCTTTCAATCATTTTGCAACCACCTGCATTTCACTTGACAGTTTACTTTCTATTTCCTGAGTTTCACGTCCAGCTATGAATAATACCATATCATCTGCATACTTTATAATATTGGCACTATTGAGACCATCGTCTATATCATTAATGTACAATATGAATAACAGGGGTCCCAGAATTGAACCTTGCGGTACTCCTGATGTTACTTGAAATTTTTCTGTTAATGAACCGTCAAAACTCACAAACTGTGATCGATCGAATAAATAGTTAGTGAACCATTCAAGCTCCAATGAATTTATACCAAATCTTGCCAATTTATCAAGAAGATTAGAATGTGAATGTGATTCAGTTTTGTCGACGGTCTAGCTTCTGATTGGTTGATTTTTATACCCAGATCAGCTGGCAGAACAAGATTTAAGTCGTTGACGGCCACCATTAGCATTTAGATTTCTTCTCATTCAAGGTTACGAGATTGTCTGTGAACCACTTTTCAACATTTGCCAGATCCTCGTTTAATTCAATACCTTGACTGTCTTTGAAGAAAAGTAAACGACAGTATCATTCTCATACATAGAGATATTACATGACTTAATACAATTGGTTAAATTGTTCACATTCACATAGATAATGAATAAAAGCGGCCCAAAAATGCTTCCTTGTTGGACCCCTACATTAATAGGCTTTATTGAATTGAATTGAATTTATTAATAATCTTGATAGCAGCTTACAAGAGCTGAGGTATACAGAATTATTTACAGTAAGAATACCCAATATACAAATACACAGTAAAAATATTAAATTTACAACTATACTAGGGAAATTATTTTTAAAAAATTCTAAAAACTACTTTAATGAGTCATTATAAGCTACGATACTAGAAAGTAAAAACGAGTTTCTTTAAAGAGGACTGCTTGTTATAAACGACGGTGACTTCGCATCTGTGAGTAAGATACGATTTGAGCCATGCACAAACATTGAGAGGAAAAACCTATATAGTGTGTCCCAGAGCCACGCCTCCGCGAGGGAGCTCATTCCCCCGCTGATACTCCCTTATTTCAAAGACGTCTCCTTTTTTGATGGGGACCTGAGTTGATAAGATTTTGTATATATTTTATATTATTTTTAAATGGCTGAAATTTACTGTTTCTTTCCCATTAGCTATTACAACGAGAAACAATTCTAGTTCAAAAGCAATTTAAACGCAGAGCCCAATACTAACAACCAGAAACCCTAATAAGTTACGGCATATATATGGCGTAGAAATGACTTAGGCCCCTTTCAAACATCGACTTTTCATGTTCCGAACCTAATGTTAATGAGATAAAGTCTTTGCTTAAGTTCATTTTGCACTGGATTTGGCACATGAAAAATTCCACGTCTGAAACGAGCCTAACTTGCACTAATGTGTTGTACCTAAGGTTCCGTTTCCACGTAGTTTGATACAAGTGTAACCAGAAAATGTTCAGTTAGTTGGGAGTATTCTTTCCAACATATCTAGCTGTAACAAAGAGTATTTTTAATATGCGTACTCAGTTACAGTTAGATCATAGGTAGCCCAACACTCGTGTTCCGCGCGTGTACACGCTACTCAGTGATCAACATATATTAATTTATCCTAAGGTTGGCAACTTTATCACCAATTATCAATAATATATCACATACATACATGTCAAACTTCGATAAAAACTGAAAAACTACCACAAAATACTGCAATATTAATAAATATAAATGAACTTGGATATATTTTCTAAATTCCGACATAGTTTTTAGCTTCAAAATGTATTTGGAAATACGGAAATTTGTTCATTTAAAATAAAGTCTTTGAAAATACATGGTCGAAATTTTCTTGTCGATAGGCGGGATCCAATTTACCCTACATTACGTCACCTTCGGAGAAATCCCGAGTCAATCCTATTTATCCTATTGGCTGCTGAAAAGTCAGAAAATTTCCGAAGATTGCTCCACGAGAGAACAGCCAATAGGATTGACTCCGGATATCTCCGAAGGTGACGTAATGTAGGGTAAATTGGATCCCGCAAATCGACAAGAAAATTTCGACAATGTATTTTCAAAAACTTTATTTTAAATGAATAAATTTCCGTATTTCTCAATACATTTTGAAGCTAAAAACTATGTCGAAATTTAGAAAATATATCCAAGTTCATTTACTGTATATTTATTAATTTTGCAGTATTTTGTGGTAGTTTTTCAGTTTTTATCGAAGTTTGACATGTATGTATATGATATATTATTGATAATTGGTGATAAAGTTGCCAAGCTTAAAATAAATTAATATATGCTGATCCCTGAGTAGCGTGTACGCGCGCGGAACACGAGTGTTGCCGTTGGGCTACCTATGGTTAGATACGTTGAAAGAAAACTATCCAAAAAGCTAAAAATTTGGTTGAACAGGCAGGGTCCTCGAGAATGATTTTTTGTAGCATCGGATTAAATACTAGAAATACATGCATGCAGCAACCCCTCGCTATTTCAAACCAAGTACACAATTTCCTGAGTTAACCTGACCTAAACTTATATTATGAAATGACACCTAAACTTATATTACGAAGTTTCAAACGATTAAAACAGTACAAAATCTTCACAGACAAAGAAAAAACTTCAAATGTTATTTTATTCTGTAATTGCCGTCGACGCCGGCGGCTAAAAGTTTCAGTATACTTTATAAATATAGTGTGTATTTTTTATACCAAAATTCAAATTACACTTTCAAAAACACTTTTTGAAGTTAAAGCAAAGGTGTAATAGCCCTTCACAGGTTTATGCGTTTGCATAAAAAGCTGAAAATTTAACAAATAAACGGCATACAAGGCTGAAAAGTATACAAATACGGCTCATTCTTACCGCGAAACAAATACGAAATAAACAAAGTAAACACGTAGTACCCCTTGTCTTTGAAAACATTTATAAGCTTGCAGATTATGAATTATTCCTCTTACACGGCTTTGTTTTGACTGTATCCACGTTCATCTTTGCTATCTGTCATGCTTCATATATCTTGTTTCTTCTCGTTTTACTTTCTTTGCACAAAGTTTATGAAACGCTTTTACAAAAATGTTTACGAAATTACAGTTAAATTGCTGACGTTCTCATTGAAATACAAACTTTCTGTCTTAGCCAATCAGAACGTTCGTTGATTACCAGTGTACACTCGTTCGCATTTCGCGCATGCGCACAAGTACCATGACCATTGAACGTCCATGGTCCTAATTTAGGCGACTTTGGATTCCGCTATGTTCTCCCGGGTCCCGGGTGTAATTCCTAATCTCTGGGCGGAATTAGTACCCTCGCACGGTGCTCCGCACTGGCTCGGGGATTATACGTATGAATATTATGCAAAAGTAGGCAATTCATTTATTTGTTCTTATTATTTAAGCAAGACGCCTACTAGGCGTTATGGTCGCGTCGTTCACAGCGGCGTAGCCAGCCCAGCTATGCAAATTTTATGTCGTGAATGTTCTTAATAATAAAAATGAACAATATACCAAACTATAGGTCGCATGTTGAAAGCAGGAGAAACACAGAACAGCCCATTTCAAAACCTACATCCAGTGTAGGCTTACTGACTTACCTGTGCGCAGGTTCCCGATTAGGGTGATATGGCCTGCAGCTAGCGACGCTGGGGGTCGACCCGAGAGGAAAATAAAAAGAAAACCAAGCCGAAACTATAGGTCGCTGTCGCTACGCGAGGCGACCAAAAAAGCTGCCTATTAGCACTCCCAAATCTCCAGTAGATTAGTAGCCTGTGCACTGACGTAATTTATGAGGGAGCGTTGTGTCTGTGCACAGGCTAGTTGATTAGTGAAAATGAGGTAGATCTCCATATTTTCACGAGACGCAAATCCAAGTGAAAACGCTTTTTACTTGCTTATATCACTTTAAAAAGCTTATAATTGATAAACGATACAATATCCTTTATATAATAGTATTATAAGAATTATTATCCTGACTGTGTCTCTTGTTTAGGGGATTGTGAAGTTGATATTTAAAGACAACAATGGATCCCTTGAAAGCCAAAGCTAATTATTCCAGGGTATGTCATTTGTTGGTAGATAAAGGTGGAGATGTTTTGAGAAATGCTTTGCATGCGGTGCATCCACCTTCCACCTTAGCTTCCGTATTGAATGCCAACAGAGCGACCTTACAGAGTATACGATACAGTGTAATTAAAGCCTCGCAATGGGATCTACTCTTCCCAAGATCTGGTTCACCTGATTCAAACAACTTTGATATTACCCTATTGACTGTCCTACTCCGAAATATTTGTGGATTGTCAGCACCAGCCACCGGATGGAATGTGATGCCTCCAGTCAGCGATACTTCCATATCTGCAAATATTTTAAGAGTCAAAATGTTTAGAAATGAAGTCTATGGTCATATTCCGACTGCTGGTTTGGACGACGTAACGTTTGAAACATTGTGGCCAGAAATTTCTGTTCCGTTAGTCAAATTGGGAATTCCTCAAAATGATATCGATGAATTAAAGGTGGCTCCTCTTAGCCCTGAAGAAGAAAGTTATATTGAAAGATTGAAAGAGTGGAAACAACAAGAGGATGATTTTAAAATTGAAGTAATCAAACTAAGAAAGACATTTGAAAATGTTCATCTGTCGCATGTCGAACAACTGGCTAAATTTAACTTCACTGGAAAGATTCGTGACCTTTGTAGAAAATTTCAAGATGGGACCAGAAAGTGGTTGTTTGATAAACTTTCAAGTTGGTTTGGGAGTGATGAAAGCAGAGTCTTGATCTTAACTGCAGGTCCAGGCGTTGGAAAAAGTGTTTTGTCTGCAAAGCTTTGCGAGCTTTTTAGAGAACGTGGTCAACTCGCAGCTCACCATTTCTGTGACTTTCGAAATTCTGATTACAGCAATGCTCAGAGAATCCTCCAGTCTCTTGCCAGTCAAATGTGTGATAATGTTGAAGGATTTCGTGATAAACTGACTGAAATTCTTCGTCGTGAACATTCTCGTGACTCGCTGTCAGACGCATTTCGTGTTCTTTTAAACGACCCCCTCCATGCCCTTGACAGACACGATCCAATGTTGATCATCGTTGATGCTTTGGACGAGAGCAAAACTGACGAGAAAAGCGAATTATTGGAGTTGATATCTGAGAAATTTTGTGAACTGCCTGATTGGATTAAGATATTCATTTCAAGTCGACCAGAGCTACAAGTACGAAAGATTCTTGAACATCTTCATCCGTGGGAAATCCGTCCTGATGACAAAGAACACAACCACGACATAGAGCTTTTCGTTCGTCATAGTTTACCTAATCTTCATTATTACAGAATAAGGTCAGTTATTTCAAAGTGTGAGGGATCGTTTTTGTACGCTTATTACTTAGTCAGTGAATTGAGAGAAAAGGGCGTGGGAATTGAACCCGACCGAAGTGATTACATCTCCAACGGTATTTCGGGATATTACGAAAAGCAGTTCAAACGTTTAGACATAGGCCTCAAACATTTCAAGCAAGATACCTCATGTCTCTTAAACAGTTTCATCAATGTCGTTGCCGTTTCAAAGGAACCCCTCCCAATAAAATTCTTTTCACATGCATGGGTCTCTCTAAAGACGAATTTAAAATACGTAAAGCGGTTCTTGACCTAATGTCAGAGATTCTTCCAGTTTACGATGGGTGTCTGACTGTTTATCATAAGTCATTATGGGATTGGCTGACATTGAACGGTTATGAAGAACATGCATTCGTTGCAGATGTTGAAGACGGCAATAGACGTCTCTGGCGTGCTTGTAAGAAACAATTCTGTGAGATAGATGCTTTGAAGTCTGTTTTAGAATTCCAAATTTCAGCCGAGAATATGTACGCTTTAAAACATGGTTGGAAATATTTGGTCGATACAGGCGAGGTAGATGAATTTCATTGGTTGGTGCATGTTGGTATAAACTTCTTGAAACTAAAATTTTTTGATGGCCTGCACAGTTTTTTTTTTCAGGCGAATTCTTGACACGTACCGTTCTAAACTTTCCAAAGATATTTATTGGGGCCTCATTCAACACGTTTGTTTCTCCGAAATGGTGCAAGTTAGCTCTGTGATTGGAATGTTTAAGACTTATGAAAAAGATTGTTGTTACGTATATTTGGAAGCACTCGCTAATGGGCGCTTCGATTTTTTACAAGGTGCCGTCAGTTCCAAAAGTGTAGCTAAGGATATCTTGGGTGGGACAAATGAGATTTGGATAGAACATGTGACAACGGAAAGCCATTCTAATTTAAGCATTGTCCCCCAAACTGTGTTTACAGACGATTCATTTTTTGATATTTTAGTGTCACCGGATCAGACGATGCTTGCTTGCATATATGCGCATGAGGGAAAATTTCAAATGCTTAAAATACCAGATCTTACAACAATCTTTGAGGCACATATTACTATTAAAGGAACTCTTTGCGAATTTTCTGCCTTTTCTCCAGACTCTTCATATATTTTATACAATTCAATCCGGTTCTGCATCAATATTAAAGAAAAGAAAGAGGTCCCCCTTTCATTACGCACGGCCCCGATGACATCAGTTACTGTTCATTTTCTTCATGTGGAATGAAACTTGTCACATTAGAGAAAACGTCAATCAAAGTGTGGGATGTAAAAAGCAAGAATATATTGGTTGAAGTTGAGAATGTGTATGGTGAGGGATCTTATTGTTTGTTTAGTAATTGTAACTCGTACATTCTTCTTTGGCCACATTATGGGTTGGGGACTGTCTTGGATTACATGAACGTCTTGAATTCTGAAACTTTAGAAAAGATCGGTAACAAGAAAATTCGTGTTGACCAGAATTTGTGTAGTAATGATTCCTTTCAAATGTTTTCCCCGCCTCATTCGTTTTCCGACTCGAATGTTAAAATGAAAATGAATTACATCTGTTTGCCATCTGGTGAGAAAGTTATAATTTCCAATAAATATTGTTCAAAAGTCTTTGTGTGGAAAAACAGAAAGTGTGTAGCATTTACAAATGATTTGAAAAATGATTTAGCTTTAGTAGTGTACGATTTCATAAATCACAAGATCGTTGACGTGTTTGAGATTGGATTTTTCCCTCATGATACTCTTGTCAATTACATTTCGAAATTAGATGGGACGAATTTCCTTTTATGTTTAAAATTTGCCATAGTACTCAGTGTTTTATCCTTCAAATCTCTTCTCGAATGGCCTGATGCTACTTTTGTTGACAATGCCAAAATAGATTGTCGTGCACTATCTCCAGACACTTTGTATGTCGCGTGCTGTTTTGAAAATTGCGTTCTTTCAATAAGAAGTGTCGAGAGTGGGGAAACATTGCAAACTGTTGCACTGAAACAACGAGCATTAGCATGTTGGTGGTCAGAGTCGTATCTTTGGTTGGTCTGTGAAGGTCTGGCTGTTAAATATCGTTATGAACCTAGGAGTGAAAATGTCTTAGGAAGTCAACATGAAGAATCTATTGTAAATTTTGAACGTGTCCTTGCATTTAAAAAGAAACGCCGTCATGTAGGTTTAATGACCCTTCTGTCGCAATAAGTTCTGATGGGTGTGCTGTTATGTTATTGTTGGATTCTAGGTCAGATTATCAATTGTGGGAAATAAAATGTGGCAACACGTGGATTGTACGTTCAACTGGAAAGTTGAATCTACGTGATATTCGTTGGTGGTCTTTATGTGGTACAAAAACCACTCGCAATGCAGTGTTCTGGACAACAGATACATGGTCTAATTTTCGTTTACTTTCTATTACTTTCCCAAATGATGTGCAAAATTTTCATAACCCTCCTATTGAATACTTTAGAGCGGCTGTTTATATCGACTCTGATTTGATCGCTATTTTCGCCGATGAATGGATACATTTTGTTAAGGTGTCAGAAGGCAGAATCATAGCTACCAGATACTTTTGTAATCCTAATTTCTTTAGGGATATAAATCCTTCTTATTCATCTCCTTTCTTTCTTCCATCAACGCGTTCTCTTCTGTTCGTTGACAGAAATGGCAACAAATATTTCAAAATTCATAATATTGAAAAGTATACTAAGATTTCCTTTTTTGATGTAAGTAGTTTAGAATCCGATTTCTTGTTTAAATGCGAAAACCACGCGTAAATCAAAACGTTCAGCTATATATGGAACATCTTGAAATGCGAAAACCAAGGAAATCGTTGAAACCTTTTTTTTAGTTTTTCTGCGAAACGGCCGCAAATTATCTGTTTTAACTGCGAAACGGCCGCAAATTATCTGATATGTCTTAAAAAAAAGCGAATTAACTTTTACATAGTCAACGGATTTAACAAATACGGAATACGTCTATGAAAACGTTTGAACTGTGTAATGGTTGTACAGAAATATTTCTAAAATATATTTTGTATCCAAGAGATTTTCCTTTGTGTACTTGTGATAGGCGTTCATGAATATTCAGCATCTTGCTTGTTAAGCGATCAGTTTATTCTACACACAGGAATTCAGTATAATAGCCCTCTTTACTTGCTTTACTGTTCCTAACGGAAGACGATTAACGAAAAATTCTTCTATAATTAACATGGATCATTATTACCTTTTTTCCGCTTTGAGTAAAAAAAAGGCTCTGAAAGAAACATGAAAAATTACGTTGTTACTGAAAGAATATATTTTCAATTGTTTATGTTATTTTCCTGAAAGTTAAAGGTCTTTATGTCCCTATATAAGAAAATATTATTTCTTCCATTAGAAGTTAAAATCTAAAGGAAAATATTTTCGTAGCCAGGCAAGACGCTGTAAAATGAAGGATATTTTTTTTCATCTTTCTTCATTTTGTCAGAGACTTGAGTGAAATGAATATAAAGGATGGTTTAGGTCAATGATTTACCTGATCTAAAATAGTTGAAATGAGTAATGAATCATGGATATCTTTACTTTTAGAATTAGTTTCCTGTTTTGTCAGGCACATTTTTATCAGAAGTTTTTAGCATTCCATTTTTATATTTTAAAGCAATTTTTTGAAGTTCCTCTGGAAGATAAAGTACATAAACCTTTTGGAAAAGGAGAACGAAGCCTGTGGCGAAGTACAATTTCTTGGTGTAGTCAGGCTATGACCAGGTCTTATTTTTTTCGAATATATCAAAATCATATTTATTTTATGTGACAAGATACGAAACACGAAGTTTCTTCAATCAAAATTTAGAAGTAAACAAATTATGCTGGAATTTTTGCGGCAGAAAACCTGACTAGCCTCGTTTTTGTGTATCTCGCAATAGGCCTCTTGCTCTACTTCGAATAGGTCCATGCATAGTGATGTGAACCCGCGTCATGATGTAAGGGGGGTTTGCATGGGCGAGGCTGGCCCGTTCTCTATAGTTATTATAGTCAATTCAAACGTTTCTGTTACATGCAACCGGGTCAGCTGGGCTGTGGTTTTGTCAAGCGGGCCAACTCGGCTTGCGGATATGGGTGTGGCAATTGGAGAGGGGGTTGGTGTGAGGGGTGTGATACCCCCTGATAATTCAGCATGATAAAAAAGTTGGTCAAATTGCTTTGTTACTTGTAAGCAAATTGATCAAATGTACAACGGCAACATTTGTTTCAGTATTTATGAATATTTAAGGATCGTGATACTCATAGAAAAGTTGACCCATCTCCTACACCCATGTCATACACAAATTTTCATTTTCCATTATCAAAAGTGGGCCAATATTACGTGACACCCCCCTCCAATCCTAGCTCGTTTGCCACGCCCCTACTAAGTTGCCGGGGTAAAAGTTTGCATGTAATCGTTTTAGGCCCGCAAATTAAACTGGAGTAAAATCACAAGAATGAATATAATACTATAAAACCCAGGAAGGATTGAAATTATTAAGGCTAAACGAGACACAATTGATTTTAAAAAATTTCGCTAAAATATCATATTGAAATCACTCATGTAATCGTTTGCTGGGCAAACATGCTATCCCGGTCCATGCAATCAGCCCCTAAATGGTATGATTAAATGTTGATTCTTGAATATCAGCGACAGCGATTACTCAGGAATATCAGCGATGCATGCAGTGATTTCGCAGTGGCAACTTCCTTTTTCTCGAATATATTATTTATATTATTTTATAACCGTGAAGTTGCAAGATAAAAGTATTTGTCATGCACATGCACGATATAATTTACCACGTATGTTTTTCTATACTCCATATAAATGCAATATATAAACATTTTAAAATATTCTATCTTTTTGCTTAAAGCGAATAATAGTTAAGTAAATTAGCTTGTAGGTAGACCACGTAAGTAAGTATTGTAGTTGCTTGTAGTTTAAATATGACTCGATGCTGTCGTTGTAACGGGAATGGACGGTGTAGACAATGGATGTGTTTGTAGAACAATCCAGTTTGCACTAATTGTAAGGCAAAAAAAAACAAACGATGTGAAAATAAAAAAGCAGCTCGTCATTTTGTTGAAACTGTTATGTTTAAGAGAAAGTTTTGAACTGCTTCTGACATCGCAATCACCCAATTTTTGCTTCCGTTTTTTCTGTATTAAAGATTGAAGGAAAATTGCACAAATTAATTCTGAAAGGCAAATTTAATTGCTATTCAAATTAGTAAGATGGCTCCAGACGGTTTTAGCTAAGCTATAATATAATGCAATATTTTGGGACTTTTTTATCAAATGCGTACCAGGCAGTGGTACCAGGCTACTAATATGAATTCACGCATTTCTTGTTTGTTTCAACTGTAAATACATGCCTTATGCCATATAATAAACTTTATTAACTTCGCTCGGTCGCCCGGACCTTCGACCAGTCAGGAAAACTGAGGAATTTCTCTTGCACGTCAAGGAATACTTGAATTTATTCCACAGACAGTAAACTGTCACTGGTTTGATAATTGTTATTTATGAATTGTGAGGTCAAAAAACAAACGAATTAGTTCGTCATATTTCTTCTGGTAAAACGATATTTTAATAGATTACTGATATCCGCTCTGTTGTACTTGGAATAAAAAGGTATTACTTTGTTTTGATTGTTTTTATTGTGTAATATTAAATCATTTATATTAAATTTTTCACCATTCTCGTTCTTACGGCTACACCCTAAAATATTTATTAATAATTGATTATCAATTCAAGGTCATACCGAAAATGTATATCGAGAATATTTCTAACTATGAATAAATAATACAATATATTAGCAAGATTAGATGAACTGTTTAACATTTAGAATTTTAGAGATTTAAATGATGAACACACCACACACACATACATCAGCGTGATGCATAGCTGATCGATAGCTTGGTCTGATTTGAGTCATTTTGTGTAACACTATATAACACTTAATTCTCACAATGTGCCGGCCATGTAATGTTGGCTGTTTCTCTATACATGTCATGAGCAAATCAAATTGTGGACAAGATACTTCTTGTCAGATTCACGGTTACGATTACAGACAGGCTTTAGTTGGATAAATGTGTTGAATAAACACTAGATTGCTAGCTGTTGCGATACATATCGTGCATGGAAGGTGAACTTTTTGTTAAGTTTTTAGCCAGATGTA